TTACAAGCTGTAAGCCGCGTTGTTGGCTGTTCGCGCTCCACACCCCCTCCCCCTTCTCTCCAACTTGGCTGTGTCGTGGGTACACCGAGCAATGCTGCAGCTCACATGCGCCATCATTCTCGACGTGTGTCCTCTTTTGTTGTGTATGAATGACTTCATCCGTTGTATCTGTACAGGGCGCACGCGACGCCGACGAAGAAGAAGCGTGTGCTCTCGCGTCTTGCTTCCTCCTTCAAGTCCAAGATGGCTCGCTCCATCGTACGTCCACGCATGCATATCAACCAGTGTGTGTGTGTGTGTGTGTGTGTGTGTGTGTGTGTGTGTGTGCTTTCCTTTTCAGTCGGTCAAATTCTATCACCGACCTCAAATTTCTCACCCTCCCCTCCACGCTGCCTCCCCTCCACGCTGCCTCCCCTCCACGCTTTCTTCCCCATCCTGTCGCCATCCCCCACCCCCACCCCGCCCTCTCAAACCGTCAGAAGCGGCGAAGTCATCTTGGCGGGAGCCAGCGTTCAAGCGAACCAAACCTGTACCGCAGCAACAGCCACGGCAACGCCACATCATATACCCCGCCACACCCTGCAACCGTCGGTGCCACCACCAGCAGCAGCAGCAGCAGCAGCACTCCCAGCACCGCTGCTGCTGCCGCTCAGCGCGCGCGCAGTGTTCGCTCGCCCTTGTCACGGATGGCGACGGTGAGCGAGCCGAACCCAACGGCTGCATCCTTTGACGCCAACGCCGGCCACCACCACCAGCACCAGCACCAGCAGCGCCCGGTGTCGGATGCGGCAATGGCGAATTCGCCGCTGCCACCGCTGCCACCAGAGGCACGTGCTGATGGCGGTGACGATGACGACGACGTCACTCCTGTCTACACAACGGTCCACGTAAGTGCTGTGTGCTCGGTGGTGGTGGTGGTGGTGATGATGACGGTGCTGGTGGTGGTGGTGGTGGTGATGATGACGGTGCTGGTGGTGGTGGTGGTGGTGGTGATGATGACGGTGCTGCTGGTGGTGGTGGTGGTGGTGGTGGTGACGGTGCTTGCTGCTTGCTCATTCGGTCACACGCACTCACAAGGACACACACACACACACACGCGCGCGCGCGTGCGCGCTTTTGCGCACGCACATGTGCAGGCGAGTGACAGTGATGCCACGTACGACGATAGCCCGCGCCAGCGCCGTCGCAACGACCCGCCTCCGTTTGAGGATCCAAACTTTGAGCACCTCTCTCCCATTGGCGGCGCGCTCGGCTCGTCCACGTCCGCAGACGACATTGACCTTGGCATGGGCAGCATGGCTGGGGAGGGCGTGGTGAACCCGCTACTGGTTCGTGGTGCTGACGCAGGTGCGCGACAGTCGCTGGGGCCGTACGACCACGCTGTTGACCCGAGCGTTGCGCTGCAAGACGACATGTGGCAGCAGAGGCACGTGGACAGCATTCTGCCCGATGATCAAGAGGACGCCGGACCGCAGGCGTTCAGCGATGTGGACGACGATTATGGCGACGGTGACAACTACGGCGCAGAAGACGGGGCGACCTCCCTTGAGGCGCTCCACACAGGGGACGATGACATGGGGTTCAGCGACACGAGCTTTGATACATCGCGAACATGAGACTGTGTGTGTGTGTGTGTGTGTTCGTGTGTTTACGTGTGTTTGTGTTTGCGTGTGTTTGTGTCATTGTGTGTCATTGTGTTTGTGTGTGTCTGTGTTCTTGTGTGTCAGTCAGTCTGTCTGTCTATGCGTCGTGGTGTCTGTGTGTCTGCTGTTTTGCAGCTTTTTTTTTTCCTTGATGTGAATGAACACTGGATGCTCCCGCCATAAACACTATCACCCGCGTCGTGTAGTGTCAGTGTGATGGGAGGGCATGTTGTGCTTTGCAGAAGCAGAGAAATGTTGTTGGTGGGAGTGAATTCATGTCACAACATACCAAAAAGGCAACATAAAAAAATGTTTCATTGCAGAATAAAGGGAGCGCCAGTGTGAAGATTGCACGTTGTGCTGACGCAGGGCTGCAGCGTAGTGGCATTGGTGAGGGATAAGGAGGAAGCCTTGAAGAACTCTTGTTGCTCTGCTAGTCTGCTGTGTTGGACAATGACATGTTCCGGACGTCAAGAGAGAAAAAAAAACACTTCGCAGTAGCGATTGGCGGTTTCGATCCGCCGACCTTGGGATTATGAGACCCACGCTCTTCCGCTGAGCTAAATCGCTGTTGTACTGCTTAAAGCTAATTGTGCGACCACGGCACTTGAAGTTACTGCAGCTGTGCAACTCTTGTAACTTTGGGCTGACGTCACAGATGTCATGACAGATGTCATTGTATCCAGCGCGGCAGGAAAAAAAATGAATTGGCAGTAGCGATTGGCGGTTTCGATCCGCCGACCTTGGGATTATGAGACCCACGCTCTCCCGCTGAGCTAAATCGCTTCTACTTGTTAAATAGGGTGAAATTTACTTTTATGTATCTGTTGAAAAAATGGTGCTGCTTTGCTTTGTGCGTTGTGGCTGTTTGACGATGAACTGCATTCAGCACACGCACTCGACACACCGCACCGCAGGATGGCCAGCGACACGCAAGCGGTTGCGGCGGAGATGGTCGCGGCCCATCACGAGGAGCAACGCCCAGAAGAGCAGCAAAACCCAGAGGAGGAAGAGGAGGAGGCAAAGCAGTGCGTGGAATGTGAGGACCAGGTGGCGGAGGTGGAGTGCCTGGACTGTGGAGAGTTTTTCTGCAGACCGTGTCGTGATCAGCAACACCGCAAAGGCAAGCGGCGGGCTCACCGAACGCGGCGTCTGCTGGGCAAACTTGTGGCCCAAGGCATGGGCACCGTTGTTGGCCAAGGTATTGGTTGCGTGAGTGTGTGTGCGTGTGCGTGCGTGCGTGTGTGCGTGTGTGTGGGTGCGTGTGTGCGTGTGCGTGTGTGTGCGTGCGTGTGCGTGCGTGCGTGTGTGTGGGTGCGTGCGTGTGTGCGTGTGTGTGTGTGTGTGTGTGTGTGTGTGTGTGTGTGTGTGTGTGTGTGTGTGTATGTGTGTGTGTGTGTGCGTGTGTGTGTATGTGTGTGTGTGTGCGTGTGTGTGCACCTCTTCTCCAAGACCGGAACAGCGCACTCGCAAATTGCCCACATTCACGCACACACCCATGTGCATCGCTAATTGCCTTCCAGAGGCGGGTGCCGCCGAAGAGGACGACAAGGGGAAGCATCCATCCGCTCACGAAGAGTCGAGCGCGCCGCCAACTACAAACGGCGGCGAGCAT